CACACACGTATTTATTTACTACAAATAGATTCAGGGTACAAATAATCAGAATTAGCCAGCCGCTCATTTCTCCAATTTTATCCGGAGGCAGTATGTTCTTCAAAGTGGTCTTTTACATCTCAGACTTTAATCAATGATGGATAAAGGAGATAAAAATTACTCAATTTAATCTCTTAAGAAAACATCTTGGATGACAGTTTTGTATCATTAACTGATCGGAGTACATTCTATAACTAAGATTTGGGACAAAAACAGTTTGTATTTATTTAAAGACAAAGTTAATTATTGGGCGACTAGTTCATATATACTATTGGTATTGAGAGTATTTTCTTTATAAATGTGAAGTCTTAGAAATAAATAATACAAATGTAGCTGTAACTCCTCTTCCATAAGAGTATTGCATACGAGTGAACAGGACTATAAAGGAACTAATAAAACAGTCATATCATTGACAATTTTTTTTAGAGAGGTTTTTGCTACAGGGCACCTGCGCTAGCCAGAAAGACAGAGAGGGAGAGAAAGACAGAAAGTGAGAAATCACACCCCCCCCGGGGGGGGTGGCCATGCCGCAATCCCTTCTCCTCCATTCTCCTATCGGGATCTTGGGCACACATGCACACATGTCTGATGTGAGTTTAAGCCACCGGGTTCGGGACTTGAACTGCGGCAGCTTATTGAATATTTTAAGTCAGTCATTAAAAATAGCTTATCTGTTACAGTTGGTTAAAAATAGTAAGGGTTCAGGCTTGCTCTAGATTGAGTCTAGAATTACCAGGATTCAATCCAGAAAGAATAAACCAGACTGAAAAAACCACACACACACACACACACACACAATTTCCTTAAAGATGTGCACTTATTATATGTTAATTAAAATTACATTAACATTTTTAAAATTTCCAAGGATTTGTCTTAACAACTGGGTAAGTGTTTTGCATTTACTGAAATGGGAGCCATGGGGAGAAGGTGCTACGTGGGGCTTGCCATTTTCTGATGGGGGGTGAAGGAAAAAAGAGCTTAAGAGAAACAAGGCTATAAGGTTCTTTGTTGAAAATGATGTCTATGGTAATATCCTTGATTTGATTACCACGCACTGCATGCATGCTTTGAAAAACCATATTATATGCCATAAAGATATGCAATTAAATGTAAATAAGAAATTATAAAAGAAAATAAAATGAAAAAAGGACCAAATGATATATACTAAAATACAGTAATAACTAACACTTAGAAATAAATGCTAAAGTTGAATAGAAATGACCAGCATGGTCACCTCCGCTGGGAAGCATTTTCTTCTTGATACTCTAAAAAAGTCTAGAAGTGACGACTTCCTTATTTGTACCTCATCTTTACTTTCTACATACTTTATCCATAAAATTTGCACCATTTTAGTGCAATACTGGACCGTGAGCTCCTTGACGGCAGTAGTGAGGTGTTTATTTTTCTACCTTCAACTTCTAGTACAGCGTATGGCACAGTAACTGGTTGTGTAATGATTCATTTTACTATGCATTCATTCTACATTCATTGAAGTAATGCAATACTAGAAGAAATTAAGCTTTGCAAACAGACAATGAAATTGATGATGAATGTCCCTATCAGTATATATATATATATATGGCTACGCCACAATCCCTTCTCCTCCATTCTCCTCTCAGGATCTTGGGCACGAACGCACACGCGTCTGGTATGAGTTTAAGCCACCGGGTCCAGGACTCAAACCGCGGTCGACCACATGGAAGTCCAGTGACATAGCCATTACGCAAACTGCTGGTTCCCCCTATCAGTATTAACTAATATACTGGATCATCAGAAAAATCCTAATGTATTTTTCTATGTTTTTCTATATAAAAAATGCATCATGACTTTCTTGACTACCCAATAGATATAGATAGATCAAGAAAGTGATGACAGAGTGAGGTCATCCAGGTAGACAAAGAGATACCAGTGTTTATTATCTCATGATAAAAACCAATGAAGGCAGCTATCCACAAATCAAAATAACTCTTGGAGGGCTCAAGGGCCCACTTAAGAATCTGCAGTAACACACACTGGAGCAAAAAAGGGAAGAATATCCACCCAGATAGGGTCACTGCTGACGATCAGCACACCTGAGATGTTAGGAGGCTAGGAACAAAGGAGAAAGGCAAAGGCTGTTGTATCACCACAAAGTAGGAAACACCATGGTCCCCAGGACACTGGCATCTCCTGCTCCTGAGGGAGCCAAGAGCCTTTTCTGTCATGGGGGACCAGCAGTTGGCGTAATGGTTCTATTGCTGTGTCTAGGGACACATGGGTACACAACCTCCCTAGAGTGTGTCTGGAATTATCAGGACTCCATCTCATCCCAAGAAGCAAGTGATGTTGAGCCACCTGAGGAAAGGAGCCACTACTCTCCAAATCTGTGGGAACTACTGACCCCTGAGTCATGGCTGCTCTGCCTGCACAGACTCTGGACGTGGGCTGTGTGGCTGCACAGTGCCCAAGCACGCGTCAGACACCGGGGCCATTTTCATTTTACTAAATGAAATGAAAAATGCAATAAGAGTGTCAGGAGCAGACCTGATCAAGCAGAAGAGAGAATCTGTGTACTCCAAGACAGGTTACTTGGAAGAGATGGATAGCCTATGGTTTATTGGATCATCAGAGCATAAAAAGATAGCATTAACTTGTAAGCAGGCCAACAGTGTAAAGAGTTATAAACCCTCTCTTTCTGGCCTACAGATCAATCCACAACACAAACACTTCCCTTATTTATGAACCCTGAAAAGTAAAGATTTTTTTATCTATTTATTTTTTTAGAGGTTTTTAAACTTAGGGCAAATCTACTTGCCAGGGAGAGAGAGAGAGAAAGAGAGAGAGAGAGAGAGAGAGAGAATGAGAGAGGGAGAGAGGGAGAGAGAATGAGAGGGAAAGTGAGAAATCATCCCCCAAGGGGAATGGCCTCTCTGTAATCCCTTCTCCTCCATTCTCCTCCTGGGATCCTGGGCATGCATGCACACAGAAGCACACACACCCAGCGTGACTTTCAAGCCACCAGGTCTGGGACTCGAATAGCAATGGGCTCTGTGGGAGTCCAGTGATGTAACTGCTATACCAAAGATTTGACATTGCCTTGCTTCAAAAAATTTCAACAGGGATGGGAACCAGCAGTTAGCGTAATGGCTATGTCGCTGGACTCCCACGTAGTCGACCGCGGTTCGTGTCCCGGACCCAGTGGCTTAAAACTCATGCCAGGCGCGTGTGCGTGCATGCCCAAGATCCCGAGAGGAGAATGGAGGAGAAGGGATTGCGGCGTGACCATCCCCCCTGGGGGGTGATTTCTCGCTTTCTGTCTCTATGTCTCTCTCTGTCTGTCTGGTGAGCGCACGCGCCCTACAGTGAAAATCTCTCCAAAAAAAAAAAAAAATTTCAACAGGGGAATAAACCGTTTTATAGTTTTAAAATATGTCAAACTCTAACATCAAAGAAAGCAAAATTTTCTAGATTTTTATTCTTCACATTTCAATAGACACATATCCTGATTTTCAACTCTGGAACCCAAGATCTCTTCGGTTTTACTAACAAAGAGTTTGCTGTTGTGTAATAACATCTCCCTGTTGGAACTTTAGATGTCTGCTAATTCCATGATCCCAGAGTCAGAAAATCTAACATTTTGGGGGGGATGGGGTGTATACAGATATTATTTATTCCACTTAGTTCTATTTTAATAAATATGAGGGTACTTTCCTACTCAACATATATTATGCATTTGCACTCTAGGAGAAATGGAAAGATTGGAAGGTATAATAGCAGGGAGGGCAACTATAGATACTAGAGACAGTAAGGGAGAGATAACAAGGGTGGGTAAGTCGTGGGAGGGAGGGAGAGGAACACAGGGAAAAAAACAAACAATATGTTTAATTGACACAAAAATGAAAAGTTACTTGCTGATAATAATATACAGGGTAATGTCTTTGTCTTGACTGATACTGTATTCATGCTGGGAAAAACCATATTGTATACTGTAAAGATGTATAGCGATTAAATGTAAATAATAAATATATAAAAAAGTAATAATAAAAATGAGGGAACTTCAATAATTTCTTGGAAAATGGAATTAAGGTAGTTGATTTTAGTGCAAAATATACTGTTAATTCCATTTAGTTTTTCAAAATACACTTTTTCCATGAACTTTTTTTGGGGGGTGGGAGGTGGGGAGAGGTTTTCCCTATAGGGCGCGTGCGCTCGCCAGTAAGACAGAGAGAGACAGAGAGACAGAAAGCGAGAA